TAGATTATCTCATGCACATGCAGCCTGGGGAAGGCTATGCTTACATGGTCACTTGAACTTTGACTGCTATGATCGCTTAATAGCTCTAGGCGAGGTCGACGAGTAGGGGTCACAGTAGCACTGCTAGATGCTCCACTATAGGACATCTTCAATTTCAACTGACTGCTGCTTTAAGTCTGCTTTGACCAGCTAAACGTTCAGAATACAGCTCAGCGTACCAGATCAATCAGATCTGCAGAGGAGGTTGGTCATCATGCGTCATTTGATGATGTCACTTCCTCTACCTACACTCCCTTCATAAAAATGAAGTTTTCACTTTAGCAGCAGTTATCTCACTAATAATACCTGCAATTGATTCAAAAACATTAGTGCATTCAGATAACAGACTAATAAACACGATCAATTTTTCTTATTTTAATGCAGTACAATCAGTATTCTTAAGTTGTAACTGGTTTCAGATATAAAAGTTTATAGACAACTTTCAGATATAAAATTTTATAGACAACTAAGAGTCTACATACACTTTCAAAAGCAAAGAGTAAGAATAAGATCTGCACTTTATTTAAAGATGCAATTTCTTTGTCTTTTCTGGAAAAGTGTGGTTTAGTCATTTGTAATTAATTAAGTTCAGTTGTAAAATAAAAAAATGAGTATTCTGTAACTCAGATTCAGTGCAATTATGATTTGTACCCTCCCACTAGATCTTTAGGTGGTTATTAAGTAATTATTATTAATGAAACCACGAGTTTTCAGTCCTTCTGCAACTATAGTCTCTCACTATACCTCAGTGGTACTCAGTGAAAACTTTTTATTTGTAGTTCTTGATACAGAGTCGCTATCATTAGCCTTCAGTGCTGTCATTATTTTCCTCTTCTCACTTAAGAAACATTTCCAGTCCTCCTTCGGTTTCATCGCTTTCCCCCCGGCTATAACTCAATTCTTCCTTCTTTTTTCATTGGTTTCGCATTATCTGTTGCTACTACTGCAGTAATCATGGAGCAAACTCCAGTGGTAAATGCAGCAGCTGCTAGAAAAGAGTGTCCTCATTGCAACAAAACTTTTTGTGACCAAAAAGGAGTCAAAAGACACATAAAAAGAGCTCATGAAGATGCAGCGGCGGCAAACCTTTATCGTGGAAATATGAAATGTACAGATTGTGATTCATGGTAAGGGCATGCACTGTGATATGGTAACACTTCTATATTGACATTTAACTTTATATAGGTTTACTCGTATGGCAAGTCTTAAACTTCATATGCAGCAAAATCATGAAGTGGAGTTAGAAACTAGAGAATTACAATTTGACAATATGGCTGGATTTATGGCATGGAAAAAGGAAGAAGAAACAACTACAAGGTCTTACTATGTCCTACATAATGGAATAGTCAATTCTCCAACAACTCAATATCATTATTACTACTGTAACAGATCTGGTTTTTATAAAGGAAAAGGGAAAGGGATAAGGAATTTGAAATGCCAACAATCTGCAAAAATTGATGGGACATGCTTGTCTCACATAGTTGCTGATGAGTGCATCAAGACTGGAGCAGTTACTGCAACGTATGTGACTACTCACACAGGACACTCCATGGATTTATGCCATCTTCCAATACCTGTCGAGATTAAGGTACAAATTGCCACACAGTTAAAGCAAGGAGTCTCAGTAACCCACATTATGGACAATATAAGGGATATGTCACTGATGAAAAGTGTGACACGTCAACACCTGTTAGTACGTCAGGATGTTAACAATATGAGACGCTCTTTGAACCTCAAAAATGTACACAAACATTCCAATGATCATACTAGTACTTCGCTATGGGTATCAGAGTTGAGGTCAAGTGAAGATTATGATCCAATTTTGGCCTATAAGCCTCAAGGAGAGTTTGTCGAAGACATAGATGACATATCTAAAGAAAGTTTTTTTCTCGCC